GGGGAGGGCGAGAGAGTGCAGTAGATGTATCGCAAATCTCCCCTGACTATAATCTACTTCACGCGCAAGTCATGGCGCTTGCTTCGAGCCTGTTGTGAAGCACACCGTAGACACAGTTGAAACTGAGGTTCGAATTGTTGGTATATTTACCCAGTGTTAAGTCAGACGATGGTTGTTTTAATGGGAATTGTGGTGGCATAAAACATGAAGCACGCTTCTTTAAAAGGCGCAATGAGTTCGGCATGCAAAACGTGTAATTCTTGAAAGGTCGAGGAGGACCGAAAAGGAGCGTGCACGATTGTGCAACCAAACCTACAAATAGACACCTCAACGTGAACAAGCAAATTCTTTTTTTTGCGAAATCCTCAATCTAAAGTCCTCATTTGTTACCGTTTATTCCGGACGACGATAGTCTATTAATAGGCATAATATGGGGCTTACATAACCCTTGGTAGCTTTAGTGTCGAGAATAACCCTCTCCACCAAACTCCTGCTTTTCGTCTATTACCCTAACTTCTTCTCGTTTTCCTCCTTCGACGACTAGTGCCCTGCTACGCTTCCTTGCCAATGAGTCCACCTACCCCAACTGGCACGGTTATGTCCTGGCCAGCGGATTTTTCGTCACCACTTTTGTCAGTTCCTTCCTGTTCAACCAAGGCTTCTACAGCACCTTCGCGACTGCGCTTTCGGCCAGGTCAGCCCTGATGGCTGCCATTTATCGAAAGGTTCGTGTCTCCTGTCTGACTTTTACCACGCGGTCTCTTTTCATTCTTGTGTCATCCATATAAAATGTTGTTAGGAACTCCGAATATATTGCGAACAGTGCGGTGCACTCGAATGTGGAACTTCCTCCGAAAAGTAGCTGATGCCTACGAATTCCGTCCTGTTATAAAGACGAAATTTTAAGCATTCAAAAACTAGTGCTTTTATGGTTTATAAAAAGTATGTGTGCTTTGTATTAAAATGCAGAAAACGGTTTTCACTTGGGTGAATAGTTCAGTCCATCTGATCGTCTGTAAAACTCTTTCTAATTTTCCTCCTCAATTAATCAGTTAACCTCTAGTATAATGTATACCTTGGGACAATCCATTTTAAGGTTTGGACACACTTATTCGCCGAATCATTTAGAGCTGTGCCGTGGACCAGCTCATAAGCGGCGAAACCCGTGTCTGGGCTT